TGACCCACTCTTCTGCCTTCCTCTTCCACTTTTAAGAACTCATGGACTAGATTGGGCCCACCCAGGTAATCCAGGATAATCGATCCATCTGAGGATCCTCAGTGTTCATCACATTTGCAAAGTTGTTGACTGATTAAATAATAAAGTGTGTTTGAAGTCCTTCATGTAAGCCTGGATCACAGGAAGCATGGATCAGTTTTTGCTATTCCTGTTATGCCATGTATATTCTCTCTTTGAGAATCCTTGCAACAGCCCCATGCTACAATGAGAAGACTGCCCGGGATGCAATGACTGGATATGGAGGTGGGAGTTGGGGATGGGAAGGAGTCAGGAGCAATGGCCAGAGAGTTAGCATCTTGGTTTGTAGACTCAACTCTACTGTTAAAAGTAACTCATTGCTTCTGAGCTCTTCACTTGACCCCTGTAGGATTTTCTCTCTTGAAGGATGGTTCCTTGCAACTCATTCTCCATAATTTAGGAAACTGGGTTTCTGAGTATGGTGGAAAGACTAATGGCTCCCCAAAGATGTCCACATCTTAAAATCCCTGGAACCTGTAAATACGTTACCTTACATAGCAAAAGGAAATTTGCAGGTGTGATTAAAAAGAAAGACCATGAGATTATCGTGGACTACTTGGGTGGGCCTAATAGCTCTTAAAAGTGAAGAGGAGTCAGAGTGATGCCACCTGAGAAAGACCTGGCCCTGTCCCATCATGGCTGACTTTGAAGATGGAGGAATGGGGCATGAGCCAAGAAATGTGGAGGGCTTCTAGACTCTGGGAATTGAAGGATGGCCCTCAATTTATTGCTAGCAAGAAAATGAGGACCTTGGTCCTACAACCACAAGGATCTGAATTCTGCTTATCCTGAATAAGCAGGAAATGGATTCTCCCCTGGAGTTTCCAGAAAAGAATGTGGCCTAGCATCATCGGCAGCATTGATTTTAATCTGGTGAGACTCCTACTGGACGTCTGACCTGCAGAACTCTAAGATAACAATTTTGTGTTTGAAGCCACTAAGTTAATGGTACAGCAGCAACAGCAAACTGGTACTGAAGTTTTCAACTTCAATGTTTGGCTGGTGTTACTGGCAATACTATTGAGTTCAGGAACTGATCAAATGTGGAAATGATGTGGGGTGATGAGGGATGAGTTCTTGGATATACCAAGTTGGAGAAGCAATGACAGCAAGACATTCACATGGCAGTGCTCAAACCACACTTGGCCATGTGGGATTAGAGTTTGGAAGGTAGTGGCAATAACTGAAAAAAAAAAAAAAGTGCCTGGGAGGGGATGCAGGGAAAGAGACTCCATCGATGGGGCCAGTTTCTTAAGTTTCCAGTTCGTCTGGCTCCATTTGGCTTCCATTCTAAGCCAAACTCCTGCTCATCCTAATTGGAATATATGGACTTTGTTTAAAAAAAAAAAATCACTAGGGAGTCATACTGAGTAAATTTTATAGACACAGCACCATAATTTTATTTATTGACTTAAATTGAGACTTCCATAAATGAATAATGCTTGAAAATTGGCTCTTTGTAGGTTCCAAAGGAAAATCTGAAAATTTTAAATGTTTTTCCTTTCTTTGTTTATGAATCTTTTTAACAATGGAAATGTTTTGTCTCCTAAGAGTGGCATGGAGCTCAAATATATGACTCACTGGATATGACGACCACCTCTTTAAGTTGTAACAAATGGGAAGTGAGTTAGGAAAGGGCCCAAGAGAAACATAAGCTGATCCTCAGGGAAGTGTAAGTCCTGGGGGGATACCTCTAGGTTGGACCAGGAGTGAGGTGGAGCATCATAATGAGAGACAGAAAAAGTGAATACATGTTAGTCACTGAGTAGCTGGGTTCCTAAAGGAAAAAGAAATGCCAAAAGAAAAAAGCAGAGAAGTATCATTTAAAAATATCTAGCTTTAATTTACTAGATTCCCTCCCTTCATCAAAGTAGAGCGCCGTCTTTCCTGTTGGGAGTTACTGAGAGCCCTGTACGTTTCTTGATGAAAGAGACGGTCCAACCCCTCATCTACTTTTTTGTTGTTGTTGTTGTTGAAACAGAGTCTGGCTCTGTCGCCCAGGCTGGAGTGCAGTGGTGTGATCTCAGCTCACTGCAACCTCTGCCTCCTGGGTTCAAGCAATTCTCATGTCTCAGCCTCCCAAGTAGCTGGGATCACAGATGTGCACCACCATGCCTGGCTAATTTCTGTGTTTTTAGTAGAGATGGCGTTTCTCCATGTTGGCCAGGCTGGTCTCGAACTCCTGGCCTCAAGCAATCCTCCTGCCTCGGCCTCCTAAAGTGCTGGGATTATAGATGTGAGCCACTGCGCCCAGCCTCGTCTACATTTTGATCAAGTTTCAGCTCTTGATTATAAGCCCACGCCTATCAAACTCAGGGATGGTGGACCAGTTTTGTGAGTTTCCAGAAAAACTTCCTTCTCTGCTCTGGCTATTCTCTTACGCTTGAGTTGCCCATTTTTTTCTAATAAGTAAGAAAGAGGTGAAATGCAAATCAGCCCCCTGTGTGTACACAGCTCTGGTCAACAGATTTGGCAGTGGAGAAGGTTGGAACTATGGCCATCCACTGGGCAAAATTGTCAGTGAAGCAATGTTAGCCTCTGTTGCCCCTCGACGTCACTCTCCATCCCTCTTCTCTGGTACCTAAGTCTTCCCAGGTGCCTTCATCCTGCTGCCTGCCTTTGCCAGGTGCCTGCCCTTCGTCACTTTACCTGCCCACACTGACAGGTGTCATTCTGAGGGTAGTCCATATTGAATATTGATTTTTTACCCAGGGCTTTCCCACGTTGCCCAGTGTGGTAGCTCTTTGCTAGATGATCAGATGAATTCACCCAATTCAAATGAACTCATACTAAGATGTGAATGACTGATAACCCCTTAAGTGCTCCAAAATATATTTTTTAAATTAACCCTTTCAGGCTGGGCATGGTGGCTCACACCTGTAATCCCAGCACTTTGGGAGGCCGAGGTGGGTGCTTGAGCCTCAGGAGTTCAAGACCAGCCCTGGCAACATAGTGAGACCCCCGTCTCTACAAAAAATAAAATAAAATAATTAGCTAGGTGTGGTGGTGCATACCTATGGTCCCCAGCTACTCAAGAGGCTGAGGTGGGAGGATCACTTGAGCCTGGGAGGTCCGAGGCTGCAGTGAGCCACAATTGCACCACTGCACTCCAGCCTGGGCAACAAAGTGAGACCCTGTCTCAAAAACAAAATTAACCCTTTAAAAGCTAACTCAACAGACTCTGATTAGTGGAATATTAAAGTAACATGAGAGATATGGAAGAACAGAGACTAAGGAAGAAGTAACTCCAATTAAATTAGGGCACCAAAGCACCTAGCCACTTGCCTACTTTTGCCTTGTTGGCTGCAGGGTAATTGGGGAACTTGGGCACTTATTCAGTCCTGCTTTCAAGCAGAACTATGATTTTAATTATCCCAGAAAACAATCAGTACCCTACCATCATTTCAAGAAAATAGGCTCCTGGAGGCTACCAGGTGTGTTTCACTGTTCTTTGTTAGTTTGCAAACATACTTACTCTTTCCTATTAATTATATCTCAAGATATCATTGTGAAAATAATTATCCCTTTGTAATTAATTTTTTTTCATGTATAAGATAACACCCCATGTGGGTCAGTGTTTGGGGATGTATCACTCCCAAAGGGTAGTGTAAATTGGTCCAAGTTTTCTCTAGGGCATTTTGCAAACAATATTTATGGAATTTCTGAAAGAAATAGCCACATATGTATGTAAAAATTTAGCCCAAAGGACTTATTGCAGCATTGTTTGTAATCATGAAAAATCGTACACACCAAAATGCCGATTAAGAGGAAATGTGTTATATAGATAAATGGTACATACAACAATTGAAGTGCTATTCAGCCATCATAGATGGTGTTGTGGAAAACTGATGATACAGAATGACATTCAGGATATATTGTCATAAGAAAAATCAAGTTATAAATATATTTGTGTGATATAATCCTTATACATATACATACATATATACACATATAAACATATGCATGTATCTGTATATATGTAAATATATATACACATATAAACACATATGCATATATCTGTATATACGTACATATATATACACACATAGAAAGAGTAATATATACCAACATGTTAATGTCATTTTTCTCTGAGTGGCAAAATTATAGATGGTTTTTATTTTCTTCTTCTTGCTTATCTGTCATTTCTAAAGTTTCTCCAATAAGTATGTATTATTTTCATAGACAGAAATATAGAATTACTTTTCTTTTAAGGGATCTGAGCACTTTCCCCAAATAAATAACTCAGCAGCTCTTGTAGTTTATAAACGCAGAGATGTCTGATCTAGCTTAACTCATAAGAAAGAAATGGCTGAATAGATACAACGTTTGTGTTCAAAAGCAGCACAGTTAACGGAAGGTTAATTTATACAAACATACACGTTTACTTTTATACATTTTTAGGAATATTATCCAACAGCTGACGTTCTTAGTCATCATTTTCAGTTTGAAATTAGCTAAACCATTATATGACAAAATAGATGAAGCACCACCAACAGTTCAAAATTGGAAAGATTGCCTCACCAAAGATAGGTCTCTGTAGAGAATTAAAAAGGATTGATTAGGCTGTTGAAAATAATAGTAAATTAACATACTGCCCTCTTTTGGTAGCTATTTGTAATTCAGCTTACGTTCACTTCCATTAAAGATGTTAATCTCCTACAAATGTATGCATAAATTAAACTAATTTTATCTTATTTTTAAAAATAAATTTTATTGTGCACATTTGAGGTTTATAACATGATGGGATGGAGTACACAGGGATAGTAAAATTGTTACAGTAGTGAGGCTGATAAACATTCACATACTTTTTTTTAGTGACATGAGTAGCTAAAACCTACTTATTTGACAAAAAATCCTTAATATAATTGTATTGATTTTAGTCCTCATGAAACTAATTCTGAATCACCTCTTTTCCTCAACAGAAGATACTGATAATTCCAGTTTGTCACCACCACCTGGTAAGTTTTTTTTTTTTTAGAACTCTGGGGAATTTCAGGAAAATGGGGAATTTCAGGAAAATATTATTCTATAAGTTCTCTATGAAACATGGCATGTAGTCAGGTACAACAAAATTATTTTCCTCCAAGAAGCTTAATTAGGTCATTAAGCCTACTCCTGAAAAATCAATAGCCAGCGTAGACCGGAGGACAGCCATATTGATCCATCCATATTGCTGGACAAAGCCAGGCAACAAATCACAGGAGACTAAATTGCTAGTTTTCATTACAGTGATTACTTAAGTTCATCAGTTATTTTTAGTATTCTAGTTCACAAGTCTCTTGAAGAGTATCAGGAACATAAACATGCCAGATGTTTTTACATTTAAGGGAGGAGATGAGATGTTCACTTAAATATACACCCTCAGTACCTCCACCAAAAGGATATGTTTCACTAGGATTCTAAGGGCTTAGCACTCACTAGAATGGGAAGGCAAATACATTAGAACCCAGATTGGCAGGAGCCTGGAACAGAACTCGAACTCGAGACTGCTAGCTGGAATGGGACCTTAGGGATAAAGAGACCCAGCCCTGTCCCTTAGTTGATGAGATAATGCAGCCTGGAGTGGCTGAGGAACTCCTCTAAGATCACATAGCTCCATGTCACACAGAGGCAGCACATGGCTTCTCTGACTCCTACTTCTGTACTCTTTCGGGTACACCATCTATTCTAGAACAATCTTTTATGATGGGGAGTGAGTCAACTCACGTTCTTTCTATAGTTGTGTGCAAATGAGCTTCTACTGTTATTGATTCATTATTTAAATCCAATTAATCACAATAGCTGTACTTCTCATGCACTGCTATGTATCTGGAAGTCTTCAGACATCTCCTCGTTCTCCTCTCAATCTTGCAGCATAGGAAATATTTGTGTTATAGATGAGAAAACTGGGGCTTGGGGAGGATAAAACATGCTCATGTTCACACATTCTCTGGAGCCAGACGACTGGAGTTGTAATTTGGCCACCACCTTCCTGCCTTCATTGCTAGCTGTGTGGTTTTGGGCTACTTCCTTTAACCGTTCCATGCCTCAGTTTCCTCTCCTGTAAATTGGGGAGAATAATAGTACCTGCTCGTGGGGTAGTTGTGAAGATGGAATGAGATAACACATGTGCCAGGCACAGTGTAAACCCTTGGTAAGTAGTAACTATTATTTTTATAAGTTTTTGAGTAATGAGGCAAAGATTCAAACCCAGGACTGCAGGCCTCCAAAGTCCAAGCTCTTTTGATCTCGCCAATTTGCCCCCTAGTTGTTAAGCTTCTAGGGCACAATGAACCACTATATTTTTCTTCCAGCAGAATAGTCCTCAGCAAACTGAATCATGGTGATATCTGCAAAACCTTGTTTGCATAGAATAGGGAATGGGGCTCTGGGGGGACACACTGGGTCTAGTCACAGCCTGGGTTCTAGGTGCCCTGGGAGAGAGCAGTGCACACTGGAAGGTAAGAGCCAGTGTAGCATCAAGGGATGGATGGGCAGCCATGCCCAGCGGTCTCTTCTTTGCACAGTGTCGTCATTCATCAACATTCGCAAGAATTAATAGTCATTCCTTAAAAACTAGTTGTGGCCAATTATTTTGTTCTGTCCCAAGAGCAAAAAGGATTCTGTATCTACGCTTTGAATCTTATTGCTCAGGAACTGTCTTACTACTTCTCAAGAAATATCCTTGGTAATTTAAGAAATAAATAAATGTAGTAAATGACAAAATATGGAAACAATAATGTGGACAGACCGTTTGTGTGTGTTTCAGCCAACACATGAGCAGTCTAAAACAGGCCAGCCAAAGTGCCTTGACGCACCCAAATTTTGTCCATACCAGCTGAAAATCAGGCTCCCTACTGCAAAACTTACTTTAGTTATAAAATGTTTGTGTTTGCTTTTCCCATGTTTAGGTAGAGGTCAAGCCATTGGATCTTTTAAATATTTAAATATGTAAAATGTATGTAGTAGATTGACTTCTTAGCTTAAGTGGAGTCATTCCACAGGAAATTTATCACTTGATTAATTGCCTTAATAGCAGCCATATTTTAAAATAACTTGCCAGGAAATCTGGTTAGGTAGTACAGTATTGAGTGGTAGCAATTTTTTTAATCCTAAATTTACTGTGGGAAGATTTGCTAGGCATCATTATAACAGAATGGCACCAGCGTGCCAATATATTTCATGATTGTAATTCAGCAAGATATTTAAAATGTTTTCTAGAATGCTCTGGCTGAAAAAATTTTAAAGTAGTATTTCTTGTATTTTGGTCTGGTTCCTAATCTTATTTCTATAATATTCCATAAGTAGTTAGCAAGCTTTGTGGTCAGGGGTCTCAGGTTCACTCATCTTGGGTTCTTTTTCTACAATTCTCTGATTAAATTTTATACTCACTGAGCGCTTATGGGACATGCAGATTTAACTACATCTTGGTCTGCTAGTGTGTTTTCTACTTCTTTTCATAATTATATCTCAAAAGTTTTAATTCTTTAAAATTTGACAAATAATTGTTTCAAAGTATTTATTTAATTTTTTTTTTCTCCTGCAGCTAAATTATCTGTTGTCAGTTTTGCCCCCTCCTCCAGTGGTACTCCAGGCAAGATTTTGAAAAAATTTAAACCTAGATTTAGTCCAATTTGTTAAAGTTTTGTTTTAATTATATCTTTGTATTGTTTTTCTCCTCGGGACAAAAAGAGGTTGAAACAACAAGCCTCAATGGTAAGAATTTTTCTGAAGCAAGTGAAAATTGATAACCTTTAATATGAATATAAGTGTAATGAATGGTGTTGAAGGTTTCCATTTCTAAATTATTTCTGAATACATCGAGTAGTTTCAAATAACCCAGAACAAAAACCCAAAACAAAACTTGTCAACCCTGGAGAGTGACCTAAACTTTCTGGTTAAATGATAACATTCTTACAGTCATGGAGGGAAGACAGCCGTCCACCACTCTAATTGTTAGCTTAAAAAGAAAAGAAATATCGATCACATTTTGAATTCTCCATTCCTTCGCTGTCCAACACAATGCCAACAAGTTTTACATGACAGATTGTTTAAATGTGAAAAGCACATCCAGTAATTCAATATGATTCAGCATGGATTTGGAGGCACAGCATGTTCAAAGATAGCCTTTTTACAGATGATTTGATCAATTTTTAAATAGTATGAAATGGAAAAAAAATGGCTTCCCCATCATGCTAGAGAAAAGGGCAAAGAAGTGGGCTGTATTCAAATATTCAAAGCACGGGGGCAGAGCAGTACATTCTGTTCCCTCCAATAAGTGAACAGAATGGGTAGACAGCCTTCCTTCCATCTTATTTTGATGAAACCCCAACACTTTTCACAAGCCCTTGGTTAAAATCAAATCTCACCATGTGGTTGGTGGTTAAAGAACTAAACAATCATAGATGCAGCTCATACTGATTGAAACTGGTTTAAATTCATATTTGGCCCAATGGGAAGGGACGGATGTTATCATTTTTATGTGCAGTTACCTCTCACAGTGAAAATAATATCTTCAATTTAGCTTTGGTGCAGTTTTTGGATCCCATTGTGTGTGTGTGTGTGTGTGTGTGTGTGTACCGTGTTTTAAGTATGATCATGTAATAAATGCCTTTTGGTTTTTTCCTAAAATTTCATCCAGAATGATAAATTCTAGAATGATTTGGATTTAAAGAAATGCCAATAGAATAGATTTTAAATTGGATTTTAAATCAAACAGGATCCAAATGAGATTTTCTTAAAAGTTAGTCGAATATAATGGTCATTTACTCCAAATTTAAGCTAGAATTATTTTAAATTGCTTTATAAGAATGTACCGCTGGTAAAAATGTATTATGCATCCACAGGTCTATATGTTAAAATCAGTATTAATGTTGGAAATATCATATCCCTTAGGGACTTTCATTATAATAGAAAAAAAAGGGACAAAATAGTAAACAACATAGATGAGTTTATTCAAATCTAATGGTTACGGAAGTGTTGCTAAGTGTTTAGACATGTAACTTGCATTTGAATCAATGAACATTTGCTCAGGAATTGTCTCCAGGGGTTGGAGAATGGAGTAATGAGACGATGGGTAGCAAAAACATTTAGTAGTGTCAGTTGGCTTTTGCAAAACTAACTTCTCCCAGATTTGGGGAAAAGGGAAATGTTTAAGGAACCTTGGAAGACACACATGTTTATAAACCATGCCAGTAGTTATGCTAATTTTTATAATTTTATTTCAGATGTTACTTTAAGCTTACCCCCTTTAAACAAAACAGGTAATATCAAGTGATTTCTAAATGTAATCGCTTCTTCTGCAGCCTCTTGAGTTTCTTGCTTGTGCGGTCTACTGGGTTACTAAAGAGTTTTCTTTTGTCTCCTTGCCCTCTTTCCTGTGCCTTCAGCCACTGATTTATGACCCCTTTTACTTTGACATTGAACGATAATTCTGTCACCACGCTCCCAAACCTCCAAACGATGGCCATAGCACTCCATTTAAAATAGCATGTATTATTTTTGTGATTATAATAGTGATACATATTAGCTCATAAAAATGGAGAATGTAGAGAAATACAAAGAAGAAAACACAAATCATCTTTAATGTTACTTTCCTAAGACTATGACTGTTAACAATTTGGTCTATTTCCATTCAGTATCATTTATACATATATTTATATACATATACTCTTATATCCTTTGCAAAATAGTCATAATTTACATAGATTTTTGTATCTTGCCCTTTTGACTTAATATTACATTAGAAGTATCTTCCAGTGTCCCTTACTATTATGACTTGATAATATTCCATTTTGTACCATATGTTGAACTTTAAAGTTGTTTCTATCTTTTTAATAGAAGTTATTGCAGTGAACATTCTGGTGCCAACATCTTTGCATTCATTTCTTATTTCTGTAGGATACATTCCAGGGATTACAATATGCAAGGATTGCATTCTAAGGGTCAGCAGTAAGACTATTGTAAGACCCTTGATACTACTGCTCAGTTACCTTCTAGAAAGGTTGTGCCCAGCGACATTCCTGTCTGCAGTGGATGAGAATGTCTGTGTCACTGTACCTTTGCTGAGACTGTATCATATATTATTAAATCTTTCTCTCAACTCTTAGGTTTTATTTTTCATTCATGATTATTAGTGAAGTTAAACATTTTTACCCCAGAGCACTTTAGTTACCAAAACCAGAAGTTCATTTCACAGTTGTATTTTGTTTGCTCTGAAAAGGAAACTGTCAGGGCAAACAAAATAATATATTTAAAAGATTCTTAATGACAATGTGAAATGCTATCAGCCTTCATAATTACCACCCACCATTGCTCATGGGCCACACATTGAAACCTGACAGTTTCAGAAACCTCATTTGTGTGTCTTTGTTACTGATGAGTTTCTGCCAGGATAACATCATCATTCTTAAGAGTGTCTCCAATCTCTGAGCTTGGCCTTTTCTTCAGAATTTGCCCATTCACCCTAGGTGACAGAGCTTCGATGCAAATCTATGCCCTGAACACAGCCTCTTTCCATTGGCCATTTTTATAGCAAAGATTTCTGTACCCAGTTCTCCATCATCTGGGGAATGAACCATGAGCTCTGTCCCCAAAATGTGTTTGGAAGACATTTCTAAAGTTTGCTCCTTCGGGGCATGTTAATATTTGCCTGTGAGTCACGCACTTTGAACAGTCCTGGTTCTGCTGTGGGCATGTTATGTGACTGTATATAGGTGGATGATCTCGACTTCTCTGAGAATAGCATTCTCCATCGATACAATGGGGATAGTATTATGTTAACTCCTAAAGCAAGACACTTGATTGTATAATAGCAATACTTTACATCCCATGTGTACTGTTTCACATTAATTTTTATTCTGAATCTCCTGCTCTCTACAATCTATCAACTGAAGGTCCCGATAGTGGCTTAATTCTACATATCTGAAGTGTAAGTCCACATCATTTGTCTTGCAGCAGTGCATGGAAACTAAAGTAGAATTACACAAGCAGTGGGATGTGTAATGGGTGTGATCTAACTGTGTAAACATGGAACTCCAACTCCCAGACTCACCCTGTGCCAATGCTATAGGATCCGTGGATGCGGTTCCTGTTCATTCTGTTGCTGAGATGACTGATAGTGTCTTAAAGGTGTCAACACTGTGACTTTTTTTTTTTAGCACTTCACTAAAATGATACTCATGGCAAATTGTTTTTAAAAAACAAGCAACAATTCTTCTCTAATATTTAAGTTGTTTCTTTGCAGAAAAAACTAAAATCACTATAGTAAAAACCTTCAATGCATCAGGTATGACTTATTATCAATATCAAGACTTTCTTTTTTTATAACTAAAGTAAAATTAAACAAATGGCTGGTGTTTATAATTTCTTTCTCTTTTTTCCAATCTTTTCAAGATAAAATCTGATCTTAATGAATAGATGTGTATGCACTGGGTACCTGAAATTGTTCTAGGTGTTTGGGGCTATATAATAATGATCAGACACAGAGCCCACCCTCAAGAATCTTCTAGTCTATGGGTGGAGACAAGGCAAACAAATAGATAACTAACATGAACATGCATGCAGATAAAGGCAATGATTATACAAGTATTACTGACATGGTTAAGAGGCATAGGAGTAGAGGGAGATGCAATTAATGAAAAAGTTAGAGGAATGAACCTCAAATTTTGTTTTTCCTGAGACAAGGTCTCACTCAGTGGCCCAGGCTACAGTGCAGTGGCACAATCATAGCTCACTGCAGCCTCAACCTCCTTGGCTCAGGCGATCCTCCCACCTCCGCCTCCTGAGTAGCTGGGACTGCAGCCTTGTGCCATCAAGCCCTGCTAATTTTTGTATTTTTTGTAGAAACAGGATTTTGCCACATTTCCCGGGCTGGTCTCAAACTCCTGGGCTCAAGTGATCTGCCTGCCTCAGCCTCCCAGAGTGCTAAGATTACAGGCCTGAGTCACTGCACCTGGCCAAATTCTTTTTAAATCCAAGAAAATGTGTACTTTTTAAGTTTCTGATACAAGACTACACACACAAGACATGCTTGACAAAGGCTTGATTTCAAGTAGGGGTTGGCAAACTATCACCAATGGGCCAAATCGGGCTCACTGCCTGTTTTTGTGAATAAAGTTTTATTGGAACACTACTATGCCCCTTTGCTTACATATTCTCTATAGCTATTTTTCTGCTGCATAAAACATGAGTAGTTGCAACAGAGACCATACGACCACAAAGCTTAAATATTTACTATCTGACCCTTTAGAAAGTTTTCTCACTCATGATTTAAGGAATGACCTGTGGCCATGTACATAAAGGAGATTACAGATGAGAACCCTAGCAATAGGAAAAACAAATTATCAGTATGAATGAGCAGCAAGAAGACACACATCACTGGAAATGGAGGTGCAGCTAAAATTTAGAAAAAGATAGATGATCGAATGAAAAGTTTAGTAAGTAATACAGCAATGGTTTAAAGGACATTTAAAGCATAACTACCCATTATAGAATCTATAAATTCTATATTTGCATAGTATATATGTTATAGTGAGTTCTATCTATAAGCAAGTATATTTGCTTATAGACAGAAGAAGAAATGAAATCTTTCTCTTTTGGTGTGGGTAACACTGCTTTGGAACAATATAAAAATCTACAGATCTGGTAATTTGGGGTACCTAAATTTAATTTGCTCACAAAATCAAAACTCATAGCTATAGGCGTCTTCGCTAAAGCATGATGCCTATATATCAATAAATCACACTAGTAGAAACCATATCACATGCACTAACTCAAATTATAATTTTAATTTGTACCCAAACTAGTTTTCTCATAGAAATGAACTAAGGATTCCTAATGTGCAATGGAAAGAAACTAGCAATTGGGCATTGCACACATAATTCTGACCAAACAAGACCTAACAAGGAGACATAAATATTTCTTAATATAACAAGTTTTTCCCTTGGCAGTTGGTTTAATACATTATCAGCATTTGCTCCTCCCATGTACTATGGATCTCTGATGCTTTGCCAAAAGGATGCAATTAATAAAGGAAGGCTTTTTAGAGAAGTAAACCTTGAGTTCTTTTCAAATTGAAGAAGAAATATACTTCTCCTGTCACCAAAGGAGAAAGTGTTTCTCAGGTTAATACATATAAAGTTTTGGTTCTGATGCTCATTTTATCTCCCAGTCATCTCTGTCTCCTTTGTATGCCTGTGTGGTCTGTTGTCCTGGTCATCACTCCATTTTGCCCTCACTAATACATAAATTTAAAAATGCTTTTATTTACTGGCTAGTATCATCCACTAGATTGTAAGCTCCTTGAGGGCAGGATCTATATCTGGAAACTCCCAAAGCCTGTAGAATATGGTTAATGCTCAGCAAATATGTTTTGAATTTTGTAGATTTGCCCATGAAACAATATTATGACATTAATGTTATTTCATACATACATTTGCATAAAGAGCTAGGATTAACATTAGAGTGTTCATAGACTCTCCTACCTAGGAAAAGAAGGAGGATCTATGATTAAGGGCCATTCCATTTAAAGTCTCTACTTGGTTTGTGTTCATGGTGCTCTGTTTATACTGAACAGGAGAGGGATTAATTGGGAAGGAGACAAAAATTTTAGGGAGGAGTTGAGGGTCAGATATTGACATACTAAAGATTAGTAAAGAATTAAGTTCCATAGCTGACCAACCAACAAATGAAAACTCATTTCTTTAGTCTTTGCGGAATTCATCCAGCCAATTAAATCCAGCTTATAATATTGCTGGTCCACATTTGATGCCTACATTTATGAATTCTCTTGACATTGCAGCACATAAACACAGGCATTGACATGCTTAACCGGCTGGGTTGTGTTTTCTTTGCAGGCGTCAAACTCCAGAGAAATATCTGCAATTTGTCATCTATTTGCAATGACTCAGGTTAGTTCTTGTGTACATTATACATTACCAGATAAATTTCCTCCATAGAGATAAATGGTTTGCTTTCTTTTCTTTTGAGTATGTGGTATGTGCCTCTTGGATCTGCTTCTTTTCATGCCACCTGGCTACTAGGAGTCCCTAATAAAAACAAAACAAATTTTATATCTGGCTGAAATTATCTTCCCATTGCCTAGTAAGAAGATGGATTAACTTCCTTAATATGAGACATAAAGCTCTATAATAAATATTTTTCATTATAGTTTTAAATCCATAACTAATACCCTTAGAATTAATTCATGAACATAATTAATAAAGACATTAATAATTATTGAAAGTCACTTCTTATATAGAAATCTGTCAAGCTTTTCCATAGGGCCTTAAGTATTAGAGCTTAGAAACAGGATAACGTCTTGCTAAGAATAAACAGATCAGCCTGTTGAATGTTGAAAACTCATGTACACCTAGTTTAAGTGGATGCTAATTCCAGCAGTGTCCATAGTGTATTTTGCCATCTCTAACTAAGACCATTTGCTATTTTTAAAAATTGAGATGGAAATCTCTTGAGAACATGCTATTTTTGAAATGGGAATATTTTCCCTTCTGCCATGGGCCAGACGGAATAAAACAACAACTTTTCTCACCTTGGTTTGGCTCCCTGGGCTCCCTTTCTTGTTAAAACCAATGAAAACAAATATGAAAAACAGAAAAATATGGTGTGGCAGGTCAGAATTGGCCAGAGATCATGAGAAGTGAGAAGAGGAAGTGAACTAGGTATTTTATGATATGAAAGTCTTATTGTGATTATAGTAATAAGCAATCATTACAGGAATGTTTTCTTTATTCCATTCCTTTTAACAGTTTAATAATTTGTGTGAAAAACATAGGTAACAATTTCAAGTAAAATAAGGTTGGATAAATTAGAAAACAAGAAAACATCCTATTAAAAAAATGTTTCACAAACACTTTCTATTGTGTGAATACAAGATTTGCTTATTTTTCTGCTGATACTACATTCTAGGTAGAATATAGGAGGAAAATATTAGCTGGTTTTGATTAAAGAAAACAAAGTGTTGGATACATTTCATTTTCGTATATTGTATAACCCTCTTCTCTTTTCCTCCTCCTTCTCTCCCTACTCTCTGAGTCTTCCGTTTACCGAATTCCCCATAATGTCATTATTTTTGTGCTTCATTTATGTTTTGGGCTGGTGACTAATGTCTAGTTCAGTGTTGTGTCTACATGATGTTTGATAACTGTTTGAAAATTGAACATGTAGTTTAAAAAAAAAAAAAAAAAAAAAACTGGTCATCTTGAATAGCAGATGCCAGAAAGCTGGTTGGAGTAATGTTTTCCCCAATTAAGGGACCGAATTGACCATTGGTTTTAGTGTTGGTGAAAACAACCTCATCAGGGTTTTTGGCACCAGAAACCCCATGGTACCCTGCCAGAAACTAGAAACCTTCACTTCTTGCAGGTTCCAATCTGGGTTCATTAAGGAAAATGGAGGCTGACGAAGAAAATGGGAGCTGACCAAGAGTCAGGCTGATAGTCAGAAGGTGGTGGCTTCCTGGTTGCTCTGCTACCACTGTGCTCCCAGCACATTTATGAAACTCAACATTCATTCAATAAGAATGTGAGGCAGAGATGTTGTGGGTGTTGGCACACACGTACACAAACACACAATTTAAATAATCATTTAAAAGCTAAGATTTAAAAAAATGGATAAGTAATTCTATGCAGATATCAAATATCTTTTAATAATTACATACTGTATGAATTGAAATTTCAGTATCGATATGTGGAAACTGAGGTTCTCAGTAGAAGAGTTGCTGAAATAGATCATGTCAAACACTGGTCTAGTGCTTTCTTGGCCATTTTTAAGCAGGAATCAGTTGTTGTACTTTGGGGTACAATAAAAGATGATGAGAAGAGGAGGCCTTCTAGCTTAGGGGTTGGCAAACTATCAGCCATAGTCCAAATATGGCCTGTTTTTGTAAATAAAGTTTTATTGGAACACAGCCCATGCCTGTTCATTTATGTATTGTCTATGGCTGCTTTCACGCTACAATGGCAGAGTTGGGTAGTTATAACATAGACCATATGGTCTGCAAACCCTCAAATATTGACTACTTGCTCAATCACCAAAAACACTGGCTGAGCTCTGGCTCTAGTTTATGTGATATCCTTGCCCTATTGCTCACAAGGCCAGTTTGGGGTTCCTATAGATCAAGCTTGTTCAACCGCGGCCCATGGGCCACATGGGGCCCAGGACAGCTTTGAATGTGGCCCAACACAAACTCGTAAACTTTCATAAAACATTATGAGATTTATGCATGGCCTTTTTTTTTTTTTTTTTTTTTAGCTCATCAGTTGTCGTTAGTGTATTTTATATGTGGCCCAAGACAATTCTTCTTTCAACGTGGCCCAGGGAAGCCAAAAGATTGGACACCCCTGCATATAGATTATGAAGTGCACACCATGTCTTTCTGTTTAGGAGTCTCTATTTTATTTGTTTCTAGATAGAGTCAAAGGCCCCAGGAATAAAATTTCTTAACAAGGGGGCAAGTTTTCTCTTTCTGAATTCCCACATAAAATTTACAGTTCATATTTTCTGAAAATTACGTTGATAATAGTTGAGTAACTTACTGACAGAGTAACTGTGAATAAAAACAATTTGATGAAACCTTATAATTTGATAATCTTTTTGTATGTAGTATTAATCCTCAAGCTATGAAGATACAAGTCTCAAATATCTTTTTGAAATTTTATTTTTAGCATTTTTTAGAGGTGAGATCATGTTTCAATATGATAGAGAAAGCACCATTCCCCAGGTAAGTTTTAAAGATTTTTCTTACTACAATCTTAAAAGGCAAATTCACATGTATTTAAACATTTGTTTGAGGTTCAGATTATTTATGATATTTGGTATATTTATTGTTATGACCAAATTTAAATAAAATATGTTAATTGAGTCCCTAGCTTTGTAAAGAGGGCTTTAATTCATAATAATCATGGTATTTTGTTAATAACTATATTTTAGTTTTCAGTAGGCTTGCTGCTGAATAAGAATGTTAAGATGATGCAGTTCTACTGCCAGTTAAAATTTTAAATTATATTAGAAACTCCTAGCAACAAGAAATATATGTATTGAATCTAAGAATAATAATCTGAATGTGATTCTCTTCGCCCCATGGGGGATTCTGATGCAGTGGTATCAACCTTCCCAAACCCCAGATTGGTTCAGAGGATCCCAGCCAAATGTGGTTCATTCATTCAATGACTATTTCTGAGTACCTACTATGTGCCAGGCAATGAACTGGTTGCTAGAAATACAGCGATGGCTGCTATCAAGTTTTCCTTTTTACATTGGGGTCTGTTAACTTAGATCCAGGACCTTTTGTGACGACAGTGTTAATAGTGTTCTTTGAGGGGAACTCTTGAAATGAAGAAAGACAGAAATCAGCACATCAGAGCTGCTGACTTAGAATATTTTTTAAAGAAAACATAAAACAAAAACAGGCTCAGCCAATACGGATTAACTTTTGAGAACCACTTTTTGCCCTCCCTTTTTTATAAAACTGCAACTTGATCATTAGATAGACAATGTTCCTTGCATTTAGGATTCAGTCTTTGGGGTATAGTTATTTGAGTGGCTGATAAAACTGAAGAACAACTTATTGTTAGAGAGTGAAAAAATAGTGTTTGTTATATTCTTAATGATTTTGTGCTTCTAACAGAATCAACATATAACAAATGGCACCTTAACTGGAGTCCTGTCTCTAAGTGAATTAAAGTGAGTAATCTGCCGTTGGATTTGAAACTTCAGACATCAACTACGGAAGGATACTTTTTGAGTCATATTTGCTATTGAAAACTGAGAATGGGAAAGAGACCAGCCCAAAGGTTATAGAGCCAACTGATTCTTTACTTCCTTGCAGATTAACCATAATCACATCAACTATTATCCCCATGAGGATCGTTGATGCTCTGAAGTTATATAACAGCTTCATTTGAATTAGCATTTGAGTTTTAATGATTTGGTATCCAGCATGGTTGAAAGAGGAGTCCAAGGTGGGACTCCAAATATATGATTTGTTGATGCTTTCATGAAGCATCAGTGATTCATAAGTCAGAGAAAAGTCTTTGTTAAGTAGACCCAGGCTTACAAGGACAAGCACAGACAATGAGAAATGCATTACAAACAGATGCCCCTTGCCCAGGTGCAGTGGCTCACCCCTGTAATCCCAGCACTTTGGGAGGCCAAGGCAGGTGGATCACCTGAAGTCAGGAGTTCAAGACCAGCCTGGCAAATGTGGTGAAACCCCATCTCTACTAAAAATACAAAAATTAGCTGGGCATGGTGGCGGGCGCCTGTAATCCCAGCTACTCGGGAACCTAGTTAAAGAATTCATCTCTGTTTGAGAACTACCGCCTTTGAGTGAATTCTTTAACTAGATTCCTCTTATCCCAACTTCATGTGAAGCTCTGCCACTTTGAAGAAATGAAAGCGTGGTTGGAGTGCGATTGGAGGAGAGGAATGAGAGAATTTCCTAAGGGGGAGTTGTGAGGAGGGGAAGGCAGCGTTGGAGAGGGCCAGAGAGGGCAGGACCAGGTCAGTGGGAGACAGGGTGAGGAAGAAATCAGAGGCACAGGGTCCCCAGGGTAAGTGGCCTGCCCCTCTCAGAAATTTTTGCCTGGGGCCAGCTTTCCCTCTGACCTTCTGCCAGAAGAAACTGCCTGAGGTTGTAGTAGCCTCATGAATAACAAAATTGTCCAATCATAATTTATATCTCACTTTTGGCTAGAACTGACATAGCTCCCGTCTGGTTGGTTTCCCTTGTCATATAAATAATTTATTTTCTTGCCACATAGGACTCTCTTATACTCTCTGTTTCTTCAAAGTGAACACCGTAAGCAACATATACCATGTGCTTGATTTAATTGCTAAAATCTAACATGTTTTGAATTTAATATCACTAATGATCTCCTTAATGTCAATTTCTCTCATTTTGTTACAGACGCTCAGAGCTCAACAAAACCCTGCAAACCCTAAGTGAGGTAATCATAGTGCACCCTGTAGCTTGTTTAAAATTATTGTTATGATTTGGGGGAAAGCATAGGGTTCTGCATTCCTGGGAGATATGTATTCAAATTCTTCCAAATTTGTTGTGTAAGAGAATGAATGGACTAGTTTTTTTATTCCAAAAATCAGAACTGGAAGTAATGGGTAGACATTACAAGGAGGTAGATTTTCCTTCATGTAACACCAAGAGTTTCTTAAAATATAAACTCCAGGAAAATGAGCTTCCTTGTGTAACAGTGACCTCACGGAGATTGTATGGCCTGAAGAACGTTGATGATATGCCGGGAATCTGATAGGAATGTGAAATGGAAAATCCCTAAGGGCTCTCATGATTCTAAAATTCTGTGATTAGCCTTGGGTCTTCTTTTCTGATATTTCCAACTGCCCAAAGTAACATATATGTCTATACATGTTTTTTGTTTTGTTTCAGACTTATTTTATAATGTGTGCTACAGCAGAGGCCCAAAGGTCAGTCATTTTTAATACTTTCATAAATATCATTTCTCCATTTATGAGGAATAAAGTATTAAGGAGTCTTAGTTAAATTGCAAATGCAAAGGGGGTCCTCTAAAATAAATACATATTAATGACATTTTGGATTTAAATATTTTTATTTTTCCAAACACTGATCACTCTGTCATATCTGTCTTCTCATTTCTTTACAAAGCACAGAGAGATGTGTAGTATCGGGCCATTTACCTCTGGTTCCACAAGGCTAAGGGTCATCAGTGTCCTTAGCCCCGAGGGCCACCAATATAACCAAGAAATGACTCCCAGTGGTCCAGGCAGGGTGAAGGCCAGACCAAAAAGAGGGAATATAACATGGAGCTTGGGAAAAGAAGGAAAGAGGAGGAAGGGAAAGATTGGAAAGAAAGAGAAAAGAACATGGCTGGGTGTGGTGGCTCACGCCTGTAATCCCAGCACTTTGGGAGGCTGAGGTGGGCAGATTACTTGAGGTCAGGGGTTCGAGAACAACCTGGCCAACATGGCGAAACCGCATCTCTACTAAAAATACAAAAATTAGCCAGGCATGGTGGCGGGCGCCTGTAATCCCAGCTACTCAGGAGGCTGAGACACAAAAATCACGTAAGCCTGGGAGGCAGAGGTTGCAGTGAGCCAAGATTGCACCATTGCACTCCAGCATGGGTGACAGAGTGAGACTTTGTCTGAAAAAAAGTTTTAAAAAGAAAGGGAAAAGAACAAATTAAGAAGCACATGCAGGCAGGGGTGAATCAGAGGTTGTCCAACAATTATTTGGGGTTGCACAGATTATCATTTTGAATCGTGTCCATTGGCTATCCTGGCTGTGTAAACCGATGGCTTATAGGGCAATACTCTCACTATCTGAACCCCGAGCCTTCTGTGACAGTCAAAGTCCTAGAAAATGAGTTTCTACTCATTAAACTATTCATTGGTACAAATAAGGGCAAGTCTTCTGTGAAATTGTATTCCCTATCCACTGTACAAATTTCGTTCATTTCACTGACCTGTTTTTCATTATTGCAACATTAATTTTCTTTCACCTAAACCAAGGCTAAAGTAGAAAGAAACAGAGAGAATGTCTTCAATTCTTAGCTATCTGATAATCTAGATAGAATTTCCAGAATTTTTTTTTTTTTTTTTTTTTTGAGAGACAGAGTCTCACTCTGTTGCCCTGACTGGAGTGCAGTGGCACAATGTCGGCTCACTGCAACCTCCACCTCCCAGGTTCAAATGATTCTCCCTGCCCCAGCCTCCTGAGTAGCTAGGATTACAGGCACCCGCCACCACACCTGGCTAATTTTTGTATTTTTAGTAGAGACAGGTTTTCAGCATGTTGGCCAGGCTGGTCTCAAA